ACAGAAGTGATGCTCCATGGATGAGCTGAGCAGGGTGATTCAGCGCTCACTGTGGAGCGCAGAGAGGTCAAGGTGCCTCAGCACCTCTGGGTGACAGTGCTGAATGATCCAAGTGCCACTCTGACCCTCATGCTGCAGGGCACATCTATCTGACTGTCATTGTCCCTACCAGACCAGGGACTGTGAGCAGAAACAGCAGGATCAGAAAATCCCAGAATTATTTAGATTGGAAAAGATGTCAGAGATCATCCAGTTCAACCGCTGACCAATCTCCACCTTGTCAACCAGACCAGAGCACTGAGTCCAGGTCCAGTTGTTCCTTGAACACCTACAGGGCGGCTCCACCACTTCCATGGGGGGGGCCCATTACAATGCTGGACAACCCTTTCCATGGAGAAATTCTTCCTGAAAAGTACCTTTCCTCCTGCCTGGGGAACAGCAGTGGCCAAGGGCAGGGTTTGGTGGGGACATCCGTCTCCTGCCCATTGTGGCAGATTAGCGCTGGAGCCAGCAGGGCGGTTTGGGGAGAGCTCGTGCTCTCAACCTCCTCGTCCTCTTCAGAGGTTCATGATCATCCCCCTTCTCCTGGAATCCTTTGGAATGACAGATCCTCAGGCAGACCCACACGCCCGGGTCTGCCCGGAGCTCCACGTGCCAAGGGGGAGCCGGCTGCCGTGCCCCCGCGGCCGGCTCCCTCCTCCCGCTGCCACTGGGCCGCCTGCCATTTCCCTTTGGCGAGCACGCTGCTCCAGCCTTTTTTCCCCCATTCAGGCTGACAACTGGGCCTCAGCATCAGCTGCTTGTTGCTCAGCATCAGCCTTTCAGCAAACAGCAGGTGCAAGCGGGGCGACCCCGGGCTGCGCTACAGTAATCCCGCAGCCCCCCCGGGCCTCCCTCGCACAATATTGTGCCCTCGGCTCAAGAATGTTTTTGTCTCCCCTCCACAGTTGTGAATTCTTGTATAGATTGAAAAGAAATCTCTTTCTAATCTTCCTGCGGTGCCGTGGCTGGGAGGAGCGGGTGCCTCGCTGCGAAGGGAGCGTGGCCGGCACAGCTGTGCGGGAGGAGCGGGCAGCTGCCGGCCAGGGCGCAGGGACAGAGCGGGGATCGCGTCCTCTCCGCCTGCATCCGTGACAGCGGATACGTGTGGCTCCGCGGGCTCTCACTCCAGCCTGGCAAAGAAACCGACTCATCACGCACATGAGCAGCACGGAGGTGACACAGCAGCAGGTCCCGGCTCCGGCAGCGGCGGTGAACCGCAGCGAGTGCTGCCCGGAGCCCCGGGGAGGCTGAGGCGAGCGGCAATCTAAACACACAGGGATTTTGAATAACACATCGTGCTGGCCTGCAGGAGGGAGCCCGGAGCAGGAGGAAGGCTTGTGAACAGGGATGGAGCACCACCGTAGGGCTTGGCTTCAGCACATCTCTGTACAGTGAAATCAGGACGCGATGACACTTTTGTTATGTGTCACCTTGTACTGAAATTGCTCAAAGCCCAGCACGGGAGGGAAACATCATCCTTCCCACAGGTTACCAAAGCCTCCCTTCCACTCATGGACCAGCTCCACAGGCAAAAAACCACATCCTCTGTCACACATATGCACAAGCACACACACTGCCCGCTGCCCTGAAAGCAGGTGGGACAGAGCAGAGGACAGAGGAGCTCTCCAAGGAGCTGCTGAGAGGGAGACAGTGCTCCCACGGCAAAGCAGTAGGCTGGGAATCCCGCCTGGCAGCCCCAGCAGGACTCAGGACATCTTTTTTGGGAGGTAAACCACTGCAGCCAGGTCCCTGTGGAGGACTGGGAGAGCCACTGCCTTGCCTGAGGTGCTGTGCAAACACGAGTTCCTCTCCCACATCCTGTACCTCTTGGTGTGGTTTGACCTCGCTTGACAAGGCAAGATTTGCTTTAACCACAGCTCAGCCCCATGACGGGGCCATGGCTCCCAGGGCAAACGGGCTGTGAGCCCAGCTGGCCCCACAGACCCTCTGCAGCAGTTTTACCTCACAAACAGATTTTAACACCATGTCCCTTGTGTGTGCATAAAGCAAACTGGTCCCTCATGCCATGGGCAGCCTCCCAAACACAGCCTCTGTTTAAACTCAAGCTCTGTCCAAAACGGGAGGGAGATGTGGTCCCTGCTGCCCTGAGAAGCATGAGGCAGAACACGAGAGATGTCCAAGCCCATCTTCCCCACTGCATTTCCACTTTTCCCTTGAGTTTCTGGATCAAACACTGGCAGTGTCCCAGCTCAGTGCAAGCCCACACTCGCACTGAGCTGGGACACTGCCAGTGTTTGATCCAGAAACACTGGATCAAACAGTGTTTTGATCTACCACAGCTGATCACTGAGTCCAACCTGTGTCCAACCCCCACCTTGTCACCCAACCCAGAGCACTGAGTGCCACATCCAGTCATTCCTTGGACACCTCCAGGGATGGGGACTCCACCACCTACCTGGACAGCCCCTTTCACTGCCTGACCACTCCCTCTGTGAAGAAATTCTTCTTTATATTCCACCTGAACTTCCCCGGTGCAGCTTGAGGCTACGCCCTTCTCTTCCTGTCACTAACTGAACCTCATTCCAAATCCCACACTGCTGAAATAAACTCTCTGCTACCTTGTACTGGGTTTGCATGGCTGGGTTTTGGTAGCCAGAGGGCTACAGGGGTAGCTTCTGTGAGAAGCTGCCAGGAGGTTTCCCCATGTCCAGCAGAGCCCATTCCAGGCTGCTCCAAGATGGACATGCTGCTGGCCAAGGCTGAGCTAGTCAGGAATGGTGGTGACACCTCTGGGATGACAGATTTAAGAAGAAGAAAAAGAAACTTATTAGGCAGATAGAACTGGGTCTAGAGAGGAGTAGGGTGAGAATATGTGAGAGGAACAGCCCTGCAGACAGCAAGGTGTGGTGCAGAAGGAGGGGCAGGAGCTGCTCCAGGGGCAAGCTGAGATTCCCCTACAGCCTGTGGTACAGAGCGTGGTGCAGCAGGTGGTCCCCTGCAGCCCATGGAGGGCCATGGGTGTGTAGAGATCCACCTGCAGCCTGTGGAGCAGGGGGATGCCTGAAAGAAGGCTGTGAACCTGTAGGAAAGCCATGCCTGTCCAGGGACCTGCAGACCCAAGGAGAGAGAAGCCCATGCTGGAGCAGGTTTCCTGGTAGGACTTGTGAACCTGTGGGGGATCCACCTTGGAGCAGGCCGAGTCTGAAGGACTGACCCTGGGGAAGAATGCCCCACAATGCAGCAGTACATGGAGAGCTGCTGCCCATGGGATGGACTCACATTCTAGAAGTTCATGGAGAGCTGTCTCCCGTGGGAGGGACCCCATGCTGGAGCACGGGAAGGACTCCTCTCCCTGAGCGGCAGCAGAAACAACTTGTGATGAACTGACTGTAACCACCATTTCCGTCTCCCTGCGCTGCTGTGGGGGGAGGAGTTAGAGTAGGGAAGGAGGGAAGGGTGGGGGGGAAGATGTTTTTGAGGTTTTTTTACCTCTCATTATCGTGCTCTGATTTTGTTAGTAATAAATTCAATTAACATCTCTAATTCAAGTCAGTTTTGCCTGACAGTTTTGGGCGACGGATCTCTCCAATCCTTATCTCAAGCCATGAACCTTTGTTATATTCTCTCTCCCTGTCCAGCTGTGGAGGGCAGTGATAAGCTTTGGTGGGTGCCTGGCATCCAGCCAGGGTCAACCCACTGCATATTTTCATGAATAATTCCCCCCACTGCTCTCCATGCCTTCTCTGCTCAGTGGCCAGCCAGCTGCAAACACGGCAAGGATCTTGAAAAACAGGGAAGATGCAGCACATCCAGCCCTGCCACCAGGCAAAGGCTGTCAGGCCAGGACAATTTCCATCACATATCCACAGCAGAAACCATTCGAATGATATCCAGCAGCACAGCCCCCTGTGTTTTCCCTGTTAGCTCTGCTGCTCTCCAGAGGAGCTAAAGCACAGCCTGCATGATCTCTGTAAATGTATTTCTTTTAAATTAGAATTATGGGGAAAAGCTGTGGTTGGGAAGACAGGAGGACAGGCAGGGAAAGCAACACCGTATCTGCTGCTGCTGCCAGCCTGGATGTGCTTTGGTGGGTAGCAGAGCCTGCATCTCCCCTCTGCTGGGCCCTCCCAAGAGCACAGGCCACAGCAAAAGCTTATTTTATTTGTACAGTATAAAGATTAACCCTCTTTTTCCCAAAAAAGCTCTCCCATCCCTTCCCAAGGCAGCGAGATTTGAATAACACAATCCTGCTGAGGATTTATGAATCTGTCCCTGCCCCTGTCCAAAGTTTTGTTAGATATTGATTCATTTTACCTTCAACTCCAAGGTGCTGATCAGCCTGGAAAGTGAAGGCATTATTTATTATGTGTATTAAAACCAGACCTCTCCAGTGCTGAAGGACAAGTTTAAAAATCTCTGGTTCCTTCTACCTTAGAAAACCTCTTTTTAACAATCTGAATCTCACACCATCCTGTCAAGGCTCTGACACTCCCTAGAAAAGTTCCTCTGGCAGGAATGGATCTTAACAGCGATCCAGGAATAATTTTGTGACAAAACATAAATGTCTGCTCACATAACTAAATTCTTACCTCCATGAGCAGCAATGCACTGAGTATTTCCTGCATGAAGTGCACCTCAAGATTCACTTCCACAGCATTTTCAGATGCAGCTCAACAAAATATTCCTGACAAAGCACCTCTGTCCACCTTCTATCCAGAGATTTAGGCTGAAAATTAAGCCCTGGGACACTTCCTGAGGGACAGCCACCCACTGAGGCTGAATAAATACGAAGCTTTGGAGGAAGGTGCTGCTACCACCAGGACTTCAGGAGCTCTTTTTGGCTCTTTGTGACTTATATAAACTCTTGGTGACCTACCTGGCAATTCAGAAAAGTGAACTGTCTTCAGTCTGTGACATTTAACAATTCTGTGTTAGTCTACTGTCACCTGGTATAGACAGGAGTCAACTAAAACCAAAAAAATACACACAGTTGAAGGTGAGTTTTGTTAAAACTGCTGGGAGCTGCCTACATGGCAACTGTTTAATTAACTGTTCAATCACATTTCCAGCAGCTCATTTGAATTAGTGATTCACACTTAAAGGCTGGCAGGATGCTGAGCAATTTCCTTTAAAAAGCTGGATAAAGCCCCCATTTGCTGGATACAAGATGCACTGAGATCACTCACAAACACATTGCTCAGCTGCCCAGAGTTGGAGTGTGCGGACAGGCTTGGCCAAAACAACAACCCTCAGAGGGAACCAAACCCCAAAGAAGTCAGCTCTTTCTGCCTGCTTCATTCACAGAAGTCACAATACAGCTCTGATGTGTTAACTTGTCCCCAGAGTGATGGGTGGAGACAACTCTGAGAGAATGACCTGGTGGGAGCAGTCAGCACAGCGAGGACTTGGGCCTGCACCCAAATAATTCCAGAAACAGCCAGAATGCTGCAAATAGGAAAGGAATTCTGCAAAGCAACACACATGGGATTTAAGGAGGTTTTAGGAATCAGCACCTAAAACACTGTTTGTGCACAGATGACTTTAAGCGTTCATGACAGCAACCCCACAATGTGGTTGGTGTCGAGTTCCCAGGATGGAAGGTATTTATCCCACTGGAAGGTCACAGCAGGAAGTTTCACCTTCCAATGGCAATATGGTAATTTCTAACTGTTTAATGGCACGCTTCTTTTTGGTAAGAACAAAGTTGTTCCCTCATTGTCCATTTTGGTGGGTTTGGGTTGACTTCCTGGGTGCAGGAGTGGCTGCACACCCCTTGCCAGCCTGCCTGGTGGGGGGGATGAACATCTGCCTTGCAAAATTGGGAATCAACAGCTCATGAACACCATGAATCAGGATGATCACAAAAGAGAAAAAACACTTCTTCTTCTTCCATGTACCCTCTGATTCATTTTGTCCAAGCCCAGTCCAGCAGCAGCTGTTCCCAGAGCAGGCAGAGTGACAAAGCTGGAATGGCAGGCAGGAAGAAGCCGAGTTGTGCGCTCCAGCCTCACGGTCAAGGCCTCGTGGTGGTCATGGTGCTGCCTCTGGACTGGCAGTGCTACTTGAAGGTGGCGTTGAAGGCCCTGCCGATGACGAGCCTGCGCACCTCGCTGGTGCCCGCCCCGATCTCGTAGAGCTTGGCGTCGCGCAGGAAGCGCCCCATGGGGTAGTCATTGATGTAACCGTTCCCACCTGCCACACAAAAACAGCCACAAGTCACTCCTTGTCCCTGATTTCAGGGTGGGACAGCAGAGGGAAATGTTCCTGCACTGTGCTTGGCTCTGTCCAGCCATCAGTGACTCACCCAGGCACTGGATTCCATCCAGGGCCACCTGCGTCGCACACTCTGCTGAGTACAGGATCACTCCGGCACAGTCCTATGGGACAGTCACAAAGGGACAGTCAGGAAAGGTGTCGCCTGCCTGTCTCCAGTCCCTGTGCTGCCCTCACGCTGCTATCACTCTACAGACACCTGCTAAGAAGCCTGAACTACTTGAGCACAAAGCACAGGGACAGGGAGCTCCAGTAGTGTCTCTGTTACTACAGAACACTCACGGCAGGTCTGTAAAGGCCACGTGAAAATAAAAGAAGGAAAAAAATAAAAAGTGCACCAAAGAAGATGGCTCTCTCACAAAAGCCCATCAATCCCCCAGGAAGCCAACATGATTTGCTTTGGGATGCAGAGATCTGTGCTCCCACTGTTAAACACTCAACATCCTCCTCTAACAGAGGCGTGGTGACATGTGGAGGTGACAACTCCTCTAGCAACTGCTACAGCCCTTACAACCATCAGGACATCTGTCTGGGCTTCCAATAAACAGCTACTGATGCTGCTAAATTTTTTGCCTTGTAAAAGGAGGCTTGCTTTTAATTTGTGAGTGAAAAAAAGGGACTTTGGGTGTGAAAAAAAGACCCTTTGGGCTGTGGGGACTCATACAGAGGCTCCCCCCAGCTGAGGCTCTGGGACTGGAGGAATTGCCCCAGGACACACAGCTCAAGTAGGAGTTGAGCTCACCTTGGCGTTGAAGTGGCCCTGGTCACAGGCTTTGGCCACATTGTAGACGTACTGCCGGCAGGCCATGAGCCGTGTGTACATATCTGCCATCTTGCCCTGCATGAGCTGCACGGCCCAAAGAAAAGGGACGTTAATTAACACGAGTGAGGGGAACCAGCCATGCCCCAAAATACCTGAGAGAAACTAGACAAGGGAGGAAATATGGACCCAGGAGACATGAGGGACTTGGAGGTTCTGTTAAGCCACAGACCCATAGATACCGACCACAGTCCCTCACCCACCAACAGCGATCTCAGGGGAGCAGGCTCAGAGGTCTTTCCACCTTCTCACCACATCACAGAATCCCAGGATTCCTTGAGTTGGAAGAGACCTTAAAGTTCATCCAATTCCATCTCCTTGCCATGAGCAGGAAGCTTCCACTAGCCCAAGCTGCTCATTATCACATCATGCAGCCCCAGCATAAACAGCAGGTGACCTTCTCCATGCAATGCCTCCACAACAAAGCTCTCAGTCTTCTCAGTTTTAAAGAGAAAAGAGGATAAAAAGTCCCAATTCCTTTTCTGCCTCACCTGGAAGTGACCAATTTTCTGTCCAAATGCTTCTCTGACATGCAGGTATGGAATTGCGTGGTCAAGAACAGCTTGCATGAGCCTAAGAAGAGCAGAAGGAAAAGGGAAACAGCAGAAATATTAATTAATAATGATTTAACTTCGGAAATGTTACCCAAGGCAAAAAGGTTCTCATAGCTGAAGTGATATCTTGCTGTCCTCCTACAGCTCCACTCAAGCAAGGCCAAGAATAAAATCCAAAGGTGCCATATTTCTCCCCAGTGCTCATTTGGGACATCCTGTGGGAAGGTCTGACCTTTTAATTCAGGAGACTGAGACTTGAGGAGCTTTCTCACAACCACAGCTAGAACAGTTTGTGCTCCTCTTAGCTCCAGAGGCCCTCAACTCAAGGAGTATCAGCCAATACCATAAAAAACCCCACAGGTAAGAACAAGGAGGGGAAAAATCCTCCTCATGCTTTGTGGAAGTTGATCTTTCCACAAGAGGATCAGCCCAGAGAGACAACTCGGGAGGACAAAAGGACTGTGGGGTGCCAATAATTACTGGGGAGCTTAAGGATTGAATAAATGAAGAACAAACCAGTTTGTGAGTCTCTGGATAGTGTGTTAGATTCTAAGGAATTGGTAACACAAATGAGCTGGTTATTCCCTGAGTAATAACACAGGGATACACAAGCCAGCAACTGGGGACTGAAGCAGATTTGTATCTCTGGAAATTTTTTTATCAAGACTGATAATTTCCAAAGCCTGCTCTGGAGGGTCAGTAGACACTGGCAGGCAGATTTGCAAACATTCCTTCTGGCATTGCTTCTCCTATCCCTTGCCTGTCACAGGGGGCTCCACAGAGATGCTTTCAAATTGGAAAACCACTGCATGAGGAGCTGAGAGCTCAAGGATGAGGCAGAACACATTTGAGTGAGCAGTGCCTGCTGAGAGGGCCCTGAGGACCTTCAGGAGCATCCAGTCAAGCAGCTGTGCTGGTGCTGGAGTTCTGTGCTGGTTTTGACTGGGACACCCAGCAGCCACAGGATCTCCTTGCACCTTTCTTCCTTCCCACATCTGATCCAGCCTCTTCTCTTCTGCTGCCCCAGTACCCCAGTTCTCCATCCAGGATCCATCCTACCAAGAGCTGCAGGCCCCCAGGGATCCCCACCCACCTTGGTGATCACCGAGGACCCTTCTGGCCTTACAACCTACAAAAGATGACAATCCCTTACCCCAGGGGACCCCCGGACAGCACGAGCCTCTCCAGGTCCAATCCACTCATTAGAACATAGACTCCTTTGCTCAGTGTCCCCAAGACATTTTCAGCTGCAAAGAACAAAGGAAAAGTGATTTATTTATGTGCAAAACTCAGACAAGCTGCTCACTGAGGGCCTGTGTTCACCGGGGTTTGGAGCAACCTGGGCCAGTGGAAGGTGTCCCTGCCCGTGGCAGGGGGTGGGACTGGATGAGCTTAAGGTTCCTTCCAGCCCAAATCATCCTGGGATTCTATGAAAAATACTGAATAGCCTAAAAAAATTCCTGGAAAAAAACTGTTTCAGCTTCCAAAGCCAAAAGTTAGCAGGAGCATTAATAGCCAGAGTGCCAAGTGCACTAACTTCCAACACTGCAGTGATGTGCTTCTCTATGTCATCATCCTCTTTCCACAAGAACATGCTGTTCCCTGTGGATGACTCCTGGGACATGATTAGAGCACCGGGGCACTGGCCTTTATGATTTCAGGGTGGAGGGATCCAACACAGTTAGAAATGTTAGGTTTCAGCTGAAACTCTTTCACTTTAGGTTTTGAAAGGGGAGCAGGATAGCTCCTTGCTCTGCAAATGTGCAATCAGGGTTTTTTACAATAAGACATCTTCTCCATTTGCTCTAGAAAGGCTGGAATTTTTCTATCAACGAAAATTGCCACTGGAATAACAAATGCTGCTATTACAGAGTCCTCCGTTGTACTAATTAACAGGGGAAAGGATGTCCATTTTCAGGCCCTGGCCCCAAAAGAACTCAGAAATGCTACAAAAGCCTGTTGGAAAGCCTCCAGTGAAAAAACTTTAGGGCAAAGTAGCTCGCCTCCATACAAGACAGGAGCACTAATGGAAACAAGTTTCTTGGGAAGCTTCAGCAAGGCTTTGGAGAAGCAGTGGTTAAGAACTAGGTCCATGAGGGTGAAAGAGCAGTGACCTGACAAACGACTGCTCCCTCCCTGCAAGCCAGCAGATTGCACTTTTCCAGTTCCATCAGCTCCCTCAGAGGCTGCCAGAGAGGAGATAAACATCTGCAAAGCCCTCCAGGTCACAGGCTGAACATGCATGTAATTAGTGATCCAATTTATCAGATCAAGAACACAGGAAACCACCATGATTTGAACCCAGCTCACCGGGGACCTTGCAGTCTTCAAAGATCAATTCACAGGTATTAGACCCTCTCATTCCCAGCTTATCCAGCTTCTGGGCTGTCCTGAAACCTGGCATTCCCTGCAAAGTCAAGGCAGGAAAAATACACTTCATGTCTCAGTTCCAACAGACTTAAAAAAAAATCATGAGCGATCTGTGAAATTCCCCTGACCACAGGAACATGTGTAGGGTGGCAGGAGGGAGATAAAGTGACCTATGAACAAGACCAGGTCTAAGTGCAAATGCAGAGAAAGCAGATGGACAGAGAAACACACACATATGAACCCTGTGCACCCATTTTCTAATGCACATAAACAGCAAATAAATAAGTTATTTGGACAGCTGCCAACACAGGCTTTCCTACAGCAAGGGTTGGAAGCTCTGCCAGTAACTGAACTGTTCTAATAATGAAGTTATGTCCATCAGAAGGTTTACTCAGATTTTGTTTTATTAAATGCTCCTTTCCTGCCTGAAAGGCTGAAAGTAGTTTGTCTTTGAGGAAGAGGCTGGCAGACATGGAAAGAAAACCAGCTGACTTCCAAATGAGGCAGTGAAGATGAAGGATTCTGCTTTAAACCCCTGTGGGCATGACTGAACCTACCCTCTCCACGATGAAGGCGGTTATGCCTTGGGAGGCCGGGACAGCGTTCATGTCAGTTTTAGCGTAGACGATGAGAACATCCGCATCCGGCCCGTTGGTGATCCAGAATTTGTTCCCATTCAAAACAAAGAAGTCTCCTGGAAGCCAGGAGATGAAATCTGTTAGCTCATGACGGCAACACTGGTATTCCCACTCTATTTATTCCCTAACAGGCTTCCCAGAATCACTTAGGTTGGAAAAGACCTCCAAGATCATTGAGTTCAACCTTTGGTCCATCACCACCTTGTGAACCAGACCAGAGCATGAGTGCCATGGCCAAATATTCTTTGAACACCTCCAGGGATGTGTTCATGTGTTTCTTCACCACCTCCCTGGGCAGCACAGGACAGGCTTTACCTTTCTTGTCTGCTTTCAGCTTCATGGACACAACATCAGAGCCAGCATTTGGCTCGCTCATGGCTAAGGCTCCAATGTGCTCCCCGCTGATTAGCTGGAAGAAAGGACAAATATTAGCAAAAGATGAAGACCAGGAGCATTGTTTGTGTTCCCTCTTTAGCCTCCTGACCTGTTTTCCTGCACCAAACCTCCACAGTCACTGCTCTCTGCAAGAACTCAGGGAGCTGCTGCTCCCGGCACAGCCTGAGCAAGGAGCTCCCTTGCGCTGCGCGAAGGAACAGAACCAAGTCCCAGAGGGATGAGAAGGGTGACTCAGCTCTGTCTGAGCCACACAAGCACAGCCCTGCTTGCACAACACATGAGGAAGGTGCCAAGGAACCATGCAGGCAGCCATATGCCTGTCCCCGGCTCCTGCCTGGGCTTTCTGCTGCCCTTTTACACAAACAGGAGCTGGTGAACACAAAAGGCCAACGAGGGGGTGAAGAGGGATGGGAAAGTTCTCTGCAATGTTCTCCTGGCCCAGTCCCCCCACACTCACCCCACAACAGCAGATGGACCCTCCTCCTGTGCCTGCTCACACCAGGCTCTGGCAGAGCTGTTGCTTCTGCTTCACTGTTATTTCATCCTGCCCTTTTCTCCTTGCTTTTTTTTCCCTCCCTGTGTACTTCCATCCATCTTCTCCTCCTTTTGATCTCTACTTTTTTTAAAAAGAAGACTTAATGCTTAAGATGTGTTTAACCAATTCAATCCATCAGTGCATTGCTACAGAAGTCCCAATGAAGTGCTCAAATCTAGTTAAGCACATTTAAGTGCTCTGTCAGGAGCCAAAACAAGTCAGAGCTGAAGCGACTTCACATCTCATTGAAAGGCAGAGAATGAAGCATGAAAATACACCTGAGGAAGGAGGACAATTCGGGGTTACACGTTTACAAGCTGCACAGTGCTGTGAGGAAGTGACGATGTACTTTGCACGTTGTTTAAATCAAGTTTCTTGTGCTGATAATTTCACTGATAATCTCAGTAGCTGGGATTCAATGTGCTCATTGTTTTTATATGCATTTTAAAACAGAAATCTAATTAATGCACTTCTGAGTTGCAACATCAATGCCCCAAGTGATGAAGTTTCACATGTAGTTAATTAACAGCCAAACCCAGCAGTTGGGCAGTGAGAAATGGAGAATATAAAATGGGAAAGCAGTGACTTTCATTCAGATATCTCAGAGTGATTTGGGAATTGGAAAGAATATTCTCCAGTACCACCTCAAAATCTCCCTTAGTAACACAGCTCCAGACGGGCAAGTTTGGCATGTTCAGTATTTCCAAAGGTTTGGTCACTGAAATCTGCTGGTGCTTAGGATGTCATCTTTGCAGCCAGGACCCAAATGCTTTCCAGTGTTGCCCCTCCTCCAGCCACCTACCTTGGGCAGGTACTTGTGCTTCTGGGCCTCGTTGCCGTTGCGCACGAGCTGGTTGATGCACAGGTTGGAGTGGGCCCCGTAGCTGAGCCCCACGGACGCTGAGGCACGCGAGATCTCCTCCATCACCAGCACGTGGTCCAGGTATCCCAGGGCAGATCCACCATATTCCGCTGGGAAGAGAGGAAAAAGCTCATGTTACCCACCAGGTGGACAAGATCCCAGGGCTGGGCTCAGTCTCCAATGAAATCCAAGACACTGAGAATGTTTCTGGGTTTGACTGTTGCTATCCCTGAGCTGGGCACTTCTGGCTTTCCCCATCCTCTCTGAATTTCATTTTTCTCATCTTAAAGTCACAGGAATATTTTGTCTTCAGCATAATCCATAACTGTATAACATAGTTTATATGTAGAACATGCACAAGGACACTTCTTGAACATGCTACTGACATTGAGTAATAATGAGCCCTTCTTATTAACCTTAGTATTATCACAACAATTAAATCACCAAGTTGCAACCTCCTTAAGGTGAGAACAAAGGACACAGGCAAGGTTTGAAAAATCCATGTACGTTTGCCCCTAAACAAGTGAGGAATTCTCAAACTGCTCAAAAATGTGGCACTAAGAACTTTTCTAAGCCTACAAATATGCAGGACAGCAGAATTTTGATGAGTGGCCAGCTGAGACAAGAATGGTCCATAAATGTAATTTGTCAGTGACAAGCACACAGATTTCAAGAGAGGATGAAGCAAGACAGAGCAGCACTGGGAGCCCAGCTAGGCACAAGGAGTTGAGCCTAAAACTAATAGTGAAGATTAAAATCACACAGTAGAACAGGGAGTGGAAGGTAAAAAGAGAAGGCTGAGAAATGCGTAATGGCCTTGAGGAGCCAACAGCCTACATAAATATACACACATGTGCCTCTAAACACATTTATATACACACACACACAGCCACCTCCCAACCTAAAAGCTTTGTTCTCCAGGTAGGAAGCAAGTGGTTGTACTGCTAAGAGAAGCCCTACAACAGGACATGAACACCAAGAAGCAGCTGGGGAGATAAACTGGGAGCACTTACTCGTCATCGGTGTGGAGGCTGCAAGCAAGAGCAACAAAGTAAGAGCAAATCTCTGTGCTCAGAGTGACCAAAGGGCACAGCTCCAAGGGGCTGCTGTCCCAAATTCCTCAAATTAACACCACAGCCACTGGCATCACACACAGCCTTTCCTCCCATGTCCCTCATTTCTACTCCTGCTTTTATCTGCAGGGCCCTTTATTCTCTAAAATCTCTCCCTAGCACAAACCCAAGTTTAGGGGTTTGCTGTCAGTATCATAAAAGATGGGCTTAACAATTTCTTATGTATGCCAAAGCAAGAAAGTTTTTTATTAATTCCTATATAATGGTTGGGTTTGGTGCTTTTGCCTCAAGAAAGGTGAGGTAACAGTGAGCAGCACAAATCCAGGATTGCTTTGCACTGCAAGAGGAACAGCAAAAAGATCCTGCCAGACACCTCCTCATATAACACAAACCATGGTGTGATTTCAAGTGATGCTGTGCTTTCAAAGCTACTCTTTGTATATGATATGCCTGTATTATCATTCCATGGAAACTACATATTTACATTTCTTCACTTTGCACTTTATAAAACAAATAGAAAGTTACAAACACCACAGTTATCTTAGTTTCAGGAAGAAAACAAACAGCACTGTTATTCAAAATGTTCCCTTAATAGACTTAATGCACTGGCACCCAAACATGCCATTTAATTGTGTACACCCTCCTAAGATTCCACACGATCCTAAATCCCACTATCCCTCCAAAAAAACCAACATCAATAAAGAAACACGCAAATCCAAAATAAAGTGAAAAATCCTGGGCATAGGAGGGTTTGAGAGGTAAACCTTTGAGGAAATCAAGAAGGACAGGACTTGTGAGGGGATGGCTTATTTAGAGTGTGGGAAACTGCTGTAAGCCTCAGGCACAACATCAAAGAAGAAAGAAGGTAAGAGTGAGGAAAAACAGGAGCAGCAGTAAATGGGGAAGAGGAGAGAGAGAAAGCAGAAATGCAGAGTCTTTCAGCACTGAAAGCGAGGCAGAGGCATTATTCTGACACATTGCTATTCAGCTGGATTCTGCAGAGCCTTTGCACAGCCACATCTAGAAAACAGACTTTTCCAGGGGGAAAGAAAGGCCCCATCAGCCGCCTTTCTCCACTAAGGGCTTCTCCTCATTACCCTGCCTTGGTGCATTCAGCACCATCACACTCATCTGTACCACTCATCACAACACTTTTCACTAACCTGCACAAGGCTGAATAAGATTTGCCCTGATTTTTTTCCGACTGGTTGGCTGTGGTCACTCCCCATTAGTTATCACAGCTTTTCAGGGCATTATTTTATACCCTTTAACTTCTCCCATTATAGATGGATGTTTGTTCTGGGATACTTTTATCTCTAGCTCTCATTCTTCAAAACTTGCTTCAGATTAGAAAGGCACAAATACGTTTGAGCTACATATGTTACATCTGGAGAAACCATTTCTGAGCAGTGCTTTTAAATTGTGAAAGGCATTGTGTCTAACAATGAAAAAGGATCCAAAGTCAGAGAAGAAGAAAAACAGTTGGGAAAGAGTTTTTTAAAACACAAAGACAGGACAAAATGGATGCCACATCACAGACAAGGCTGTTGTAAACTGCAAAGTGAGAGTTTAAGTAGTCTCTCATTTGTTTGAAGAATCACCCATCAGAAGGCAAAAGACCAGAAGAGACTTACCAGGGGCTGTGATTCCCAGAACTCCTAATTCTCCAAGTTTCTTCCAAAAGTCCTATGAATACAGAACAAGCAATCAGCCCAAACTGATTGGCAGTGGCAGTCTGGGCATCAGCATAACAAGTTCCCCCAGGCAGATCACTGGACACATCCATTTATCTGCAAGATATCATGAGAATGAAGCAAATACAACCCTAATTCCTGTTCCTCCCACAGTGCAGCTCCATCCTTGGAACTGAGAAACCACACAGATTTAAGGACACTAGTTATGCTACACATGGGAGTAGTTTGTGGAAGTCAGTGAAAATTCAAATGCCAAATTTAATTCTGGAAAGACACCTCCTAAGATTTAACTTTTTGTCCACTCCAATGAAAATTTTTTGTGTAATAGTATAAACTATGCATTACCAAAACCCTGGAAATATGAAGCTATGAGATGGCACTTTAAAACTCTTCCAGTAAAACAGGAGCTGGCAACTAAATGAAGCATCCTAGGGGGAGATTAAAACAATGGGAATGCTACAGCCATGACAAAATGCAGTAGCAAAGGATGTTGTAACCAAGGAGGCCCACACGTGTCCTGGTGGGGCATCTCCCTACTGCTCCTTTCCTCTGCTATGTCATGGACACAGAGGTGAGTGCTCCTCACGTGGCCCTGGTGTCCGGCAATAATAATCAGAGACTTCAAAAAGTATCATACAATAGCTCTGGATGACATCTGGAATGCCAGGCTAAATTTATACACTTCCCTTCAAAGCTACACATACATCCCTGGAAATGTCAGCATCAGAGCTCTAGGAAATGCTGGCAGATGTTTAGAGCTTTTTGAGTCTTGTGGAGCTTATAAAAACCAATAGTCAGATCTCTCATTTCCATCAATCAAAGCACCCTGTGGCACAGGATTTGTTTGGTTTATTAGAAAGGCAAGTTTCAGCATTTGTACACAATGTTTTCACAGCAAATCTGAAGAGGAAATTAATGTCCAAGAAAGGGACTGAGTCAGGAGTATACAAAGCACACATTGGGGAAGGAATCAGAACAGGCAGGCAGGAATCCCATGATAAGAATCCAAAGGAGACCATTATCCATCTTTATTATGAATATTATCACTGGGTTCTGCCCCAGGTTGCTGAAAGTTGGTAACAAATGCTAAAACAGGAAATCAAAAAAAGGTTTTCTCTGTGGCTTTTAAGTTTGAAAAGTTAATGCACATGTTCCTGTGGTGTGGCTTGGGATTGTCTGGACTAATGCAGAGATCAAAGCCCAGAGGGCTTTCAGAACCACACATGAAATACTTGCCCGCATGCCTTTGAATTCATTTTCCTGGTCAATCTGTTGGGCCTTTGGAGCCAAATGCTCTTGGCAGAACTTTGTCATGGTCTGTCTAAGCTGGGAAAAGAGGGGAGGAAAAACACATCCATTATATCTCAGCAATATATTGTCATCTTCCCTTGGTCCTGCCAACATTCCCTCACCAGGCCACTCCAGCATCCCAGACCCAGAAGCACAAGACCATAAGGAAATCCATGGTTCAGGTTACTGGCTGAAATACCACATAAGAGGGTCATTGCTTTAGTCTTTTAAAAAGGACCTCATGTACTTTAGTCCCTCTCAGCATTTAACCTTAATTGTACCCAGACATGAGGGAATGCTCCTGAACTCCTGCCTGCACTGGGGTTTCAGGCACATTTTTGGGCAGAGAACTTTGGAAGCTGATGAACTGAGTTTATAATGTGCTAACCCCATCTCATAGCTGCTTACAGCATCACTTGATTGTGTGCAGGTGCCTGCAATAAGCAGGGATACTAATTAAAATGTGTTTGTGTGTCAAACTAGAACTACATTACCTACCTTATTACCTTCTACAGTGGGGAAATTTGATAGAGCCAGGAATGTTCATTGATCCAAGTGTTAAAATCCCAAGATATTTTTCTAGATTTTATACTCTTACATATATGCTACAGAAGTCTATAAGCATACTAACAAAATATATACAGTATCTTAAATGTTTTTAATATTTAAAAACTTGGTCCTGATCTTATGGTAGAGTTTACCAATTTTTTTTTTTTTCTTTTTGTTTTTTTAGTCACACACATTAATTCTGATGAAGCAACAGTTTTAGAGACTGAAACCCTGAGCTGTTAAACCAGAATCTTTATAAGGGGCAGGAAGAACAAACCAGAATATGCCCACACTCCTCTATTTGTCTGTGACCCCCAAAACCTAAGCATCCTCTTTTTTACAACTGAGCAGATATGTTAAATTTCCAGTCACACAGACCCTGGATTCCAGTACTAGCAAATAAGCTTTCTCCCCATTCCTAGATTTATAAACCTAAAAAGAACCTCAAAAGACATTAGATATTTTCCACTGTGACAAAGCTGACTGCCTTGCACTTGAGAAAAGAGCTTAAAATGAATTAAGACAAGCTTAAAACCATAATAAAAAAAAAGTCTTAATCAATTAGAGATTGAGGATGGACTCAGACAGGGAGCCCTGATACCCTAAGCTTGTTTATAACATATTGTTTTAAATTCAGTTTCAGTAATATTGCTAAAGATTATTTCTGATGGGTTTTTTCTTTTTACCTTTTCCATCAGACAGATAGGAATAAGAGGAACATTTTACACCTTTTATGTCTTCTGTATATAGAAGTACAAAGAAATGTCAGTTTGAGCTGATAAGGCCATGAACATAAACACGGCAAGGAATAATTCTGCAGCAACAAAGAAGAACAAGTAAGTTTATTTTGCACACCCCTATGCTTGCACTATCAGAATTGTCTCAAAGTGAGCCTGTAGCTACAGTGTCTCACTGGCAGGAGCCTGTGTGGAACAGCCCTGGGCAGACACTGCCCTTCACTGCAAGCCCTGGGGCAGAAGGGAATACATCTGGAATGGTCAGTGCTTGGCTGCTGCTGCACACACAAGAACACAGCAAAACTAAGGATCATAGAACATTCCGAGCTGGAAGGGACCCACAAGGATCATCAGTCTGTTGCAAATGGTTTAACCTTCCTAACTAATGTTTCATTAGCTGTGTTAATTAACTGTAAGCATGTCCAGCTGCAGCCAGTTAAGTTTCTTTTTCACAGACACTTATTGATACTTTGATCATTAAATCACTGAAACCTTAAGTTTGCTAAAACTAATCCTGAGAAGCTCCAATAAACAAAGCCTGAGGGAGTTGAAGATTGGACACATGGGATCTTAAAATTAATTGGAATCTTAAATTTATGACCCTTTGAAGACATGTGGGATTAACCAGAAGACACAGACGAGATTGAAGCCTAGAAAGCTGGAAACTCCCCATTTGAGAAAAAAATTATAAAAGGACTACAGAAAGTGGGCCAGATTAGCACGAAGAGTGAGAAATCAATAACCAATAGAGGACAAAACACTAATTAATAAAGAGAATGATGCAACTTAGAACCAACAAGCTTTAATTTGTTTGCTAAAAATGTGTAAGTGAAAAAGTTTTGTGTCTTGGGTTGGCATGGAGGTCAGAACTTTGTCAGCCACACAAACACCTCTTGGTCAAGAATAAACTAATGCCACACTCACTAACACTAAAGACAGGGTAAAAGTCTTATTTTTCCCAGCATTTTCAGAGGTTTTTGGTAAAAAGTCCAACTCCCAGTCCTGCACAGAAACCCCAACAATCTCACCCTGTGCCTGAGGGCACTGTCCAAATCCTCCTTGAGCTCTGGTAGCTTTAGGGCTGTGATGATTCCCTGGGGAGCTGTTTCAGTGCCTGACCACTATCTGGAGAAAGTCTTCTCCCAATACCCAGCCTCAATCTCCCCCAACCCAGCTCTTGCCCTTCCCTGGGTTCCTGTCACTAGTCACCAGAACAGAGATGTGCTGCCCCTGCGTGTCCCATTGCAGGAAAGCCGTAACCTGCAATGAGTCCCAGGAATTATCCTAAATCTTTAAGCGCCCTACTGGGCAGGAGAACAAGCTGGGAGAGCTGCAACCCTTCTTTCGGGAGGACGTGCCGCGGCCCCGCCAGGTGCTCTTTTGACGATCACGTTTCTGACGAGTATCGCCTATCCAGCAGGCCCAAGGCGGAGGCCGGCCCGTTCCCCCAGGCATTGCGGCGCTCCGTGGCGAGGCCGCAGGCCGGGCCGGGCCGGTCGCTGCCGCGGAGGCTGACCGGGCATCGCTGCTGCCTCAGCCCCCCGCCCGTCCCTGCCCCGCCGGGGAGCAGCCACCAGCTCGGCCTTTGGATCGCCAAACACAGGAACTGGGCTTGACAAGCAGGGGCCACTGAGCTAGGGGTGAAACAGCAAAAATCCCAGTCCATCCTCGTGCCTCACATTGCCAGGAGCTTCTCCAGCCCTTCAAGCATGGTTTTCCATTCCTTAATTTGAGCTTGGAAGTCGGAGTGCTTCTCCAGGGCATGCTGGTTCTCCTCTTGTGCTGATCTCCACTTGGCCATGGCTGTCTGTGGAGAAGTCAGTGCACACCACGTTTTACAAACACCAGAGTAAGGAACAGAAAAGCCAAGTCCTAAAGCATCTGAGCTCTTCCTCCTAAACTAAGTTAAGTTTGGGATTTCTTTTACCTTGGTTACTTGTGGAAATCTATGGCCAAAATTTAGGAAGTCTCCTGTAACAATTATATTTTAGCTCTTGAGCTTTTTATCAAGAACTGTTCAACTGAAATTTAATGACTATTTTGGTCTGTATTTTGGTAATTACTGAAGCCACTTGTGCTTGCACACTTAGTTTCCCCAGAGATTACCCAGGGTCACTGCTCTGCAACAGTTTCCAATTTAAATTGAAAGCTCTGCCTTCCAGAATAACAACCAGGCTGGTGGATCCTCTATTTAAAAGGGGAGTAAGTTTCCTCAACAAATGTGTTTCTATTAAAAGAAGAGTACTGCAGGTTTTCATCTGGCTCATGTGGAGGAAAGGAGAACTGGGAGGAGCAAAATAACCTCCCTGAGGGGCTGGTGCTCCCTGCCTGGTTGAGCCAGTCCTACCTCAAGCATGTCCTTCTCTTTTGCAGCTCTGTGACAAAATAGCATCAATTCTTCTGTGGCCTTCTTAGTTAGCATCTGAAGAGTCAAAAGGAAAATGACTTTTAATATGATGCAAATAAGTGTGAGTCCCAGCTGTTTCAGCATCAGGAGGGAAGGGTGGGGGCACACAGACCCCCCAGAGCCCATTTCAAGCTTTTCTTACTGTTGTCTTTTCCCGGCAAGCACGCATCTCTTTTTCCTCCTCCATGTGGCTACCTGCAAGTAATTCAGGAGGTGCATTAGAGAACCTCTAATATACACATAACTCTGAGAACAAACAGCTTTTCAAAGTTACTTTCTACAGCAAGAAATACTAAGTTAGTTTATCCAGGCCAGGAGCTACTACAGGAAGCAGTTCTTTCTCTTAAGCCACAAAAAACTCCCCCAAACCCTGGAATTCCAGCAGTATTCCTTAAAAAAGGAAGCACAGACCAAATTTCTTATGAACAGTCACAACACAAGAAAAAAAACCCAAAAAACATTGTGGAGGAGGAGTACCAGGATGTAAGCAAAGTGCAAACTCCTTACCAGGATTGATGTTTCTGCTTTCTAAAATCGTCATGCAGGTCTCCTGAATTTCCTTGAGCTTCTCAACTTCATGGACCAGGCTCTCGTTCTCCTTCTTTAACTCCCTTAACTTAAGGGTGCCCTGGTTAACACAGGTTGTAAGTGAGACAAGTTCGCAAGGAGATTTTCTTCCCCTTAGTAATACTGACAGTAACAACTTCACAATACTGCACTTGGCACCAAGAATCAGACCCTCCCTCCTGTCTCTACCACCACAGCAAATGAGGCTGTTGCAGGTCCTTGCTCCTGCTTTTTGGCAGGATTAATACATTTATTACATCCACACACCAGAGCAATTACTAGAAAAATTTGATCATGGACGAATTCCTTTTAGACAACTCTATATTTTCTGGTGCTCCCTCTCATTTATGTAAGCAATACACGCACTGAGGAGCAAATAAACACTGTGAAGAAACGGGTGTCTTATGTCTTTAAGCCACAGCATTATTCCCTGCACAGTCCAGATATTACCAGGCAATTGGATAAGCTGATCAACCTCCCAAGCTGAATGCAATTCTCCAAGAGGATCAATAAGCATGTGGATTAGGGTGATCTGGCTGATAGTGTCAGAAGCTTTGGGAACATTTCATAGGAAATGTCTCAGAGGCTCTTAAGAAAATCAAGCTGTGAAATGAGAGGATTGATCATCCCACAGATTGAGAACTGGAAAATAACTGAGATTTTACAGGTGGGCCTCCTGTACATGACAGAAGTGGCACTAAGCATGTCCTAGAGACATCTCTGAGAGCCAGGGAATAAAAGTGCCAATTCTGACTCTAAACCCGATTCCAAAAAATCAGATCTGTTTGAAACAGAAGTCCCTGACCAGTACCAAGCTCTCTC